CCAGCATGCTCATGTTCTGCCTCAGCACAAATACATAGTTAAGCCTAAAAATAATGTGCAGCTGGGTCACATTCTCAAGGCAGGTCAGTAACCAGTTGGGCAGGAGTTTAAAGAGTTGCAGCAGAAACAGCAGCAGAAATGCATATGCTGGAGTGGGTGGAGGATGGGACCTGAGAAGACATGACGTGACATGACATGACAGTCCCTGGGAGGATCATCTCCTTGGGCTGGGCATGGTGTGGGGGTGCTGTGGTGCTGTGTGGCTCCGGGAGGGAGATTGCTTCTCCCGCACCCCCCTGCAGCAAGGGCACCGTGCCCTGTGGCAGCATCTGTCCTTCGTCCCCTGCAAACCCAGAGACTCAGGCTCTGCGGGGCTGTGGGGTGTCCTGGGAGTCATGGGGGGTTCTGAGGAACGGTGCCATTAGTGACAACCAGCTGACCCTGCCGGTGCCGCGACCGCATGGCACAGAAGGGCTTTCTGTGAGGTGGGTTTTTTCCCAGTTCCGATGCAGATCCCTCTCCCGCAGCACGGAGGTGATCCGCGCTCTCCTGTGGACATGGACGGCCCCGCTCCGCTCTCACCATTGCTTCTGCCAGCCTGGCTGCTCTGTGGCCCCCGTGGCACCTCCCAATGCCACTTCAAGGCTGTTGTAACACATTCAGGGCAAGTGGAAGCTCACATAAACTGACCTGCAGAGATGGAGCAGGGCAGTCACACCCACCCTCTGCTCTTCCCATAGACCTCACCCAGCGCGGTGCCAAGGATGCCCCTCGCTCCACCAAACAGTGCCAGTCTGTGTTGGGATGGCTGACGGGGGACGGCAGGAGGCTTCGTGGGAGGGAGGGCTCTGAAGGAGCTGGTCAGCATGTGCCCCTGGCCCCACGCCCGTGGTGAGGACACGGATGCAGCTTTTCTTCTGCCCCAGATTCTGAAGATAAAATCTCCACTCGATTAAACTGCACAAGTGCACAGGCCCAGCCTTCCCTGTGGGGAGGAACCTTGTCTGGCAGCACAGGGCACCTTGGTGCGGGCAGGCAGGGCAGCAGCACGTGTTCATCAGCCTGGCATTTCGCGTGCGGACAGCCAGGTCTTGGCTGCAGAGTGGAACTCGGCACGGTAGTGGCTGTTAGACTCTGTTTTGCCAGGTTTGTTTTGCTCTTACTGCCGCTCACTTTAATCTCTGATGTCACTAATTACTGCTTCTTTCGTAATTGTGACCCCGCGTCTGAGCTTGGGACCACAGTACTGCCGGAGCCCGTCGTTACCAGTGTCTCCGAGTCTGTCACCAAGTGCTTTAATTCCTGTCTCTGCCACTTGTCACTCTTCTGGGTTGGACTCTAATGAGCACTGTATTAGTGTCAGAAACATGTGTTTTGTATCGGTGGGATGTGCATTATCCTCCCCTTCCAGCCAATAACCAGCCAGGCAGAGTCAGGGATCCTTAACCTGTCTCCGAGTTCTGGCTGCGCAGGGACCTGCAGGGTGCTCAGGAATATTGCTGCAGTTTATCAGTCTTCAAATGATAAAATCCTCTGATTTTCTTTCAGCAGAGAGGGTCTCATTTCACACTGGGAGGATGAAGTCAGTCTCTGAACTTGTGATGGTTCAGAGCATTGTCTCCCTGATGTGCAGCTGTTGCCCAGGAGGCTGCAGTGGCTGATTTCCTGGTCTCCGGTTCATAAAGCCCATCAGCACCAACGATACAGGGAGTGGGGAGGGCGTTTGTGCTCTGGTTTGCCGTTTGCCGCTGAGGCTGAATTCCTCGTCACCCTCTGCTGTAAACTCTGCCGTTGTTTCTCGGGGCTGATTTCCCCTTTTCTAGCAGTGGGAAATACTTTAGGGTGATTCCGTGCCCTCTCGTTGCATCTGTAGAGGAAACGACAGCTCCAGAGCATCCCAGGTGTCTCAAAACCAGCGGAGATGTTTGCGGGCTCACCGTGAGGACCGGCCTTGCTCCCTGTGCCGCGCTGCTGGGGGCTGTGGCCGCTCCTTGCCTTTCCTTCACAGCCGGGTTGTCGATCCGGCTTTTTTACGCTCCCCCAGTGATAGGAGCAGACAACGGCCGCGTTGCGTGGGAAAACGTGCAGTGATGGAACGCGAGTGCCCCGCGAGGTGTGATTTGGGCCCGTGGTGGCAGAGGGGACAGTCTCCTGCTGTTGATGCTGGCTGAGAGGTGGTACGGGCCGTGCCAGGGGAGCGGATGCTGAGACGGCGGCACCTCAGTTGTGCTGTGATGGCTTCATCCTCCGGACAGAGGCTCGGCTGAACTGGCGGTGGGATCAGTCAGGCAAAGCAGACACCTCTGCAGCCTCTAAGGCTGCTGCTGCTCTGGCACCACTGCGTGGAGAGGTGACCCAAAGCTCTTCGGGCTTTTCAGTGCAGCACTCCAGAAAGCTGGGATCGATTTCTGCTTCATTCTGTGAAGGATGTTCTTGGCCGTCCCTGCAGAAAGCAGCGTGCACCACAGCATTACTGGCTCCACGGGGAGAGTTCACAGCGAGCCCTGCGAGATAAGTGCGATGCTGAAAAATTTAGCCTTGGCAGTGCTCCTCTCTGTTTCCAGCCGGGGCTGGCCGGGCTTGCGGCAGACCCTTGCAGAGCAGATCCTGGCTCCATGTGCATATTTGCTTCCCTGGTTTGTAATGTGCTATCGTTGGATGGAGGGTGCCCATGTGAGGAGGCTCATTATCTCTCAGAACAGCTAATAAGGAGCAAATGAAGATTAGCACTGTGTTGGTATAGATGAAACAGCACATTTCAGTCCTCTGCCTGAGAGCGGCACCTCTGAATGACAGTGTCGGGCGTTTCCAGGGACTGCCAGCTGATGGGAAAGAGGAGCTGCTCATGGCTGTGTCCGCCCCTACATTTCAGACAACAACCGCATGGATTTTATTTTTAAGCTGGTTTCTGGCTTGCTCCAGTTTTCTCTCTTTAATCACGAACAGATCCATTTAGGTCCTGTTTCTTGAAAACCTGGGTGCCAAGTGGGAGAATGACTCATGCAGTAAAGGAAGGCTCGAGCTGTGGACACACGAGCCTTGGGTGCATGTGTGTTCAGGAGTGCCGGGCTGTGGATCTCTGGAATGTCTCACTGGGACATCTGAAAGGAGACGAGTGCGCTGAATCAATAAACCTGAAGACCTGGAGTCGAAGGAATTGTGGCTTTTGTATTTTGTTGTTTTTTGGTTTTTGGTTTTTGGTTTTTTAATTGGCATACTCAATGAAAAAGTCATAGATGCAAAAACTAGAAAAATAATCTCCCAGACAGAATTTTCTGATTCGGTAGAGACATCTCCAAAGAAAGCTGGAGATTACCTGAGTTTGGAGCACAGCAGCTCTCCTGGCCAGCACTGACCATTGGTCTCATCAGTCTCCTGGGGTTGGGCAGAGGCTCCTGCAGCCGAGGCTGTGGGCACTGGCTGTTCCCTGCTGGTGGGGCCGCTGGTGAGTTGAACTGCCAGTGAAGGTGCCACAGGCTGCTCCTGCGCTTTGGAGCGGTGAGTTAATGAATGCGAAGGCAATTTTGATCTCATTAAGAAATGAGGTTCTTAACGTAGTGCATCCCTTCCCTCAGCTCGTCCCACCAGCACAGGGGTCTTTCCTCCCGTGGTCCCAGGTGGTGAGAGCACCATTCCTGGCACTGGCGTGGGGACAGCGGTGGTTCTGTGGGGTGACCGAGGGGCGGTGTCCGCTGCGCCCCTGCAGCTCTCCCAGGCTCTCCGCCGAGGAGCTGGCGGGCTGCTGAGGCCAGCAGCAGGTTGCTATGATACAGTTTGCAGTGGCAATGTCTGTGCTGAACGGAGCCAAAAGCACCTCTACAAAAGGAGCATTCCTGGGCTGGGAGGGGGCAGATTTATCTGCAGTGCTTATGTAAAGCTGAGGAGCTGCAGGGAGAGGATGTGCGTGGGAACGTGTCCCTCCAGTGTGTGCTGGGGGCCCCTGTCTGGAAGCAGATACCTTTTTGTGCATGGGGGAGAGGGCACGGCACAGACAAAGGACCCAGGAAATTTGAGCATGCGGGTCAGGGTCGGATCTCACATCCCGTCCAGTAAACCCAGGCACAAGAGTGGACACTCAGTCCGAAGGGAGTTCAGCACTAGAGTGTGGTGCTGCCTTCGAAACAGCCTCTTCCTCAGCAGGGATGGGGTCACCCTGCTGCGCCGGGGAGCGCGGCGGGCAGCGGTTCACTGGTGCCAGTCTGCCAGTCGTGAACTGAAGCTGCTTGAGCCTGAAGCGAACCCTTCCATCCCTGCCTCCCTGTGCCGCCTTGTGCGCCAGCCTGCATCCCCTGTCCCCGGAGCTGGACAAGGCACCGCGGGGACCGATTCTTCTCGATGCGGGGAAGGTGACTTTCCCTCTAGGAAGAGGACTGGGCTCTGCAGGGATCAGGGTGTTTCTTCTGTACTGGCTCCCAACTGCGTCTCTTCCCGGTGACTTTGCAGGGACAGAGTCCTGGGTTGAGGCTTCTCTCGTGGAGGGGTGCCGGGGTGTGGGTGTTCTCCCACGGGCCGGCAGCAACACGGCTGTAAGAGCTGGAGATACCGCAGGCCAGTTTCGCTGTGCATCCAAAGGCAGTGAACACCAGGGTGCCCCGGGAGAGCGGTGGGGGCTGCGTGGGCACGGCTGGGGCTGTGCCGCTTGGAGCGTGCGCTGGGCTCTGTGCTGCGGAGGTCCGAGCGGCGGCTGCGTTGGTATCCTGCCATGAGCTGGTGTCAAGGGCAGGGTGGGTGGTCGGGCGCAGGAGATGAGCAGGGTTTGGGAAGACAGCATGGCTCAGCCCTCCACCTGCCCCGTGGGCTCCCAGCAGAGCAGGGGTGGTCACAGCCAGGTCTCCTCTCCTGACCGAGCCTTGCAGAGGGGTCTGGGGCACTGGCAAAGCACCGAGTGTGCAGAGCTGTGCCCCTCTGTGCTGAACATTGCTTGTGAGCCCCCGTGCAGACAAGAGCCAGAGTCGGAGCCTGCGGAGAATCCGCCTCTTCTCCTCTCACGCTTATCCCAGGCAGGTTCCCATCCTCCCGGAAACGTAAGCCACCATCATCCATAATTCACCAGGTGCTGAACTTCATCAAGGAGCCACCCGACAGCCGGGCTGGGTGCTCCACCCTCCTCCAGGGTGGGAAAGTGCTGGGTCGGGGCATCCTGAGGGGCCCGGGCAGGAAGCACGTCCGGTTTCCGCGGCCTCGGGGTGGGCGATCCTCCTTTTAGAGGAGGCAAATTCAACAAGGACTCTGGTGTCTCTGCTTCCCCTTTTCAAAAAATAAACATCTGCTTCTCATCCCTCCAGGAAGTTTAAACCATTGTGAAGCCAAATATAAAACCGAAACAGTGTTTGTAAGTAGCAATGAGCTGATTGCTCCGTTACTGTGTACTGAGGCATCTACAGTCGCACACAGAAAGTGCTTCAAAAAAACCCATTATGGGACAATGCATTTAATGCCTGAAATTTGCACTGGGGGGGGGTGTGTGCATGCACGCGCGTGCGTGCGGCAGGAGCTGTGCAGGATTTGGGCTGGGCTCTCTGCCCGCTCGCTGAGAAATCCTGCAGAATGCAGAATCATCCCCTCTCATTCATAGCTTGTTCACCAAATCCTGTCACATCTTTTATGTACCAAAAAGAATCTGCCTGGCTTCTTCCAGCACAAATCCAGAGCAAAAGGCAATTCCTTTTTTACCTGTCTTAAACTCTCACAATTTGTGTGAGCAAGCTCTCCTGTTTAAAGATAGGAAGAGAGGATAAAAAATAGCAGCAGCATTCCCTGTCTTGTCTCAGCCACACCTTTCCACCGTTGGTGGTACAGCAACTGCATGACAAGTGGTGGGATCCACACGCAGGCGGTGGAGAGGCACGTGCTGCTGTGCAGTGCCACAGCCCTCCCAAGCTCCCTCTCCTGCAGCGAGCCGCGTACCCTGGTGGCACCGGTCCACACCTCGTACTTGCCAGATGCTTACTGGGGAGGGAGAGGGATGCGAAACTCGCATTTATTTCCAGTCTGCAAAGGGGTAAGTGTAAGAGCACAAGGACAAAACCTCTGACTTCCACACATAAACAAAGGGACCAAATCCTTTGCAAACCAAACTCTGCTGACCCTAATGGTGTCTGGTCACTGGTCAGAAGCTTGGGTCAACATCCTTTACCTCCAAACCTCCAGTTTGCATTGTGGGGCAATGTCTGCAGTTCTTACTGGAACCAGAGGTCTCTTTGCCTGGCAGAGAGGGTGGGGGCCTGAGCCTGCCCGTTCAGGTAACAGGCAGTTGGTGGGATGAGACATTCTGCTCACCACTCTCCTCCCGCCCCTCTCCGCAGGCTCAGCATATTACGATAACGTCCGTCCCTTGGCCTACCCGGACTCGGATGCTGTGCTCATCTGCTTTGACATCAGCCGCCCCGAGACCTTGGACAGTGTGCTCAAGAAGGTGAGTGCTCCACATGCCTTCCAGCTGGCGAGACGCGTCCTCTGCAGCCACACGCAGAGCCGCCCTGGGGTCCCTGCGCCGTGAGGCTGTCAGCAAGGCCAAAAGCTCTGGCTCTGTGGCCAAGCCTTGGCTGGAGTTTGTGTGCTCAGATGAGGACAGTCGGCTGCTGCTGATCCCTATGTGGTCTGTGCAGAAAGGAAGATATTTCCATTTGAAAGGAGCCCAGTGGATGGCATAGCTCATGGTAGCTCACAGCATGTGTATGGGGTCTCTGTGTACGCACACATACAAACCTGGGGACAGGGAGAAGTGTAGGGCATTTGTTCTGTTTTTCATGAAGACCTTGGAAAGTGCTGTGCATCTCTTGTTAGCATAACCACCAGTGAGTGTGCTATGGATTGCTTGCCGCAGTTGGGAAGTGGCCCCTGGTGCCTGTTTCCGTGCAAGCAGAGAGCTCAGGCTCTTTGGCTGTCCCCTCAGTTCAGCATCTGCACAGTAAGAAGAACGGCGATCAGTTCCCTATAACCTGACAACAGGAATAATGAGCTATGGCACTGAATTTCCAGCCCAATGAATGAATGAGATGAGATGGCACAATGCCACGGGGCTCGATCGCGCGTGGGGCCCCGAACACCGTCTGTCCGGGCAGAGCGGACTGGCCACGCTCTGTGTTCACAGCTGAGTTTTCTGCCGGCAGGTTAGTGCCTTTCAGCAGAGCAGATGTTTCCGGCTGATGGGTCTGGCAGGTCCTGGGGAGCCCCACGGGGCTGGGAATCTGCTGCGGAGCACTGCAGGCTGCTCTCCCGGCAGGTCCCTGCCTGCCACGCTCTGGGAGGTGGGTGGCACCCAGGGAGGAGTCCCCATGCCAGGCTTTCCTCCAAGATGGCATGGAGTCCAGCAGCTTGGGATGCTGCTCGGGGAGAGGGTAAATGGCCTCCTGGCCATTCGCATCCCTTGGTCCCGGCCGTTCTCTGCTCCCTTCTGTGAAGTGCAGGGAGCTGTGGTTCCAGTGAGCTCTCGCCACTGTGCAGGAAAGTTGCAGAGCTCAGTGGCGGCTGCATCCTGTCGCAGGGGCGAGTCCGGGCTGGCATCTCATTTGTGAAGCTCTCTGGGACGCCGAGGCATGAAAAGCTCTACGGAATAGCGACTCCTGTTGTGATCCCCCAGTGAGCCCCGGGCTGCTGCGGCGGGGCCAGCCACTGTCTGAACCAGTCGCAGTGCGCTGACTGCCCTCTTGGCCTCTCCACGTTTTGCCAAATGTTGTGCTGAAGCAAGTGCCTCTTACTCAGCTGCTGGGAGGGCTGAGAAGTGGGTCTGTGTCTCAGAAGCGTCCTGGTGAAGAAACAAAGACCCTTCAGATAATTCGGTCAATGGCTCAGTGTTTGTTTCCGAAGCGGGTCCCGGGCACGAAGCGTGCTGGGTGGAGGAAGGCGTGTTTCCCGTGGACGGGAAGAATTCACTGCTCAGCTTGCGAGTCAGCAGAATAGTAATGCAAGCAAATCACTTACACCTTAATGAGATGCAAACCCATCAATAATTAGCTGAGGCTGGGATTTGTTTATGTCTGTCTGCGCACTCTTCATGTGAGTCTGCACTGCTCAGTGCAAGGTCTTCCTTGTGCAGCCTCACAGATGTTGGGTGCTGTCAGGCAATGTCTTAATATGGCGACTTAAAATAAACCCTGAATCACACGGGATTTCTTAAGTGCCTCTGAGTAGATGCCTTGTTTCCTTTGGTGAGGGCTCGCAGCCTGTGGAGGTGAGGAAAATTCATAATGATGTAGAAATGGGTTTTAGCTTTTGATATCAGAGGAATAAGGAAAATAACACTCCGTATGCAAACCTGCATGGGCTGCAGCGGGGCCAGCGCTGGCCTCAGTGCTGGTGCCGGACACCGCGGGCCCGGGGCAAGAGACCTAAATAGACCTAAATGCCGCGTTGCAGTGGCTGCCAGTAGCAGTCCTGGTGCCCGGACTGGTCCAGTCCCAGGTCCTGTGCAGAGATGAGCCGGGCCAGGGCTGAGATCCTGAGATTGCCTTTGCTGTTCCAACCCTGACCCTTTTGCAGGCTGCCTGCTGCCAAGATTAACTTGACATGGAGGTGCCACTGAGGCTCTTCACGTGTCTCATGACCAGCAGCCCTGAGCACCTTCTCCCTCTTGTCTCCTCTGCAGTGGCAAGGGGAAACTCAGGAGTTCTGCCCCAATGCGAAGATTGTGCTGGTCGGCTGCAAGCTGGACATGCGGACAGACTTAAACACGCTCCGGGAGCTTTCCAAGCAGCGCCTTATCCCTGTGACACACGAGCAGGTGAGTTTCAGCAGCCATCCCCACAGGGCTCAGGGACTTTTCTGCAGTACCTACTAGCACAAGGATATCAGAGCAAACGTGGCCAAGTCTTGGTCTGAAGCTGGTTTGATCTCGGCTCGTGGGTTCTGAGCTGCTCGTACTTACAGCACTTTTCACAGCTCTAGCAGACCTTGACTTATTCCTGGTGCTCCACTGAGCAGCCTCCTGGTTACTAGCTGAAAAGTTGTTCCTCAAAGATGGTGGAGATGCCTGATTTGAAAGTTGGGCTGGCTAAAGGGGAGTGTTGTGCTTCTGCGTCTCCTAGTTCAGCACAGCTCTTTCTGGTCTGGGTGACTCTCCTGCTCAGGGTCTGTGTTAGAGCCGCATTGCCGGGGGGCGAGCTGCAGCTGGTGGGTCCGGGGGGGCTGCTGCCAGACTGCTGTGGCCACCGGTGCACCCCGCATCCAGGCTGGCCCAGAGGCAGCTGTGCTCCGGCTGCCCTGGGCCTGGCTCCGTGTTGTGCAGAGCGGGTCCCAGCTGGCTGCCCTGTGCCTGGCTCTGTGTGAAAGGATGCTCTTTGCCGGGCACCAGTGTCCTAACCTTCTTCCTGTTTCCTCCCGCTCTCTCTGGACCACAGGGCAGTGCGCTGGCGCGGCAGATCGGGGCAGTGGCTTATGCAGAGTGCTCCTCCAAGGTCTCGGAGAACAGCGTACGGGATGTGTTCCACGTGACCACGCTCGCCTCAGTCAACAGGGTGCACAAGAACTTGAAGCGCAGCAGCTCCAAGCGGGGACTGAAGCGGGCGTCACAGATGCCCGGCAGGACGGACTTACTGACCGACACAGAGATCAGGAAAGACCGAGCCAAGAGCTGCTCCATCATGTGAAAAACAGGCTGTAAATATTTGTGTGTGTTGTCCATTTTGTACAGTGTCTGGCTGAGACAAGGGCATGGTGCTGGCTGCGGGAGCCAGCCTGCCTTCCCAAAGCCTTTCTCCCAGCCCCTGGGGCCACGCAGAGGTCCCAGCTGCAAACCGGGTGCACAAGTCATCCCCACCGTGGAGACTTCTGGGTCGGCTGCTGCTGCGTGCGTTGCTTGGGGTGAAGGAACCACTTGGCAGAGGAGTATTCAGGTGCTGGAAGGTCTGTGACTGGGTGAAACAAAGTAAAAGGGAGTGATGCTGTGTGCGTGCCACCTTCCTGTACCCATGGCCCAGCCTCTGCACCCGCGTGCAGCTGTGCAGCACACACGGCGTGGGGCGGTGGGCTGTGTGGGACCAGGGCTGCAGGGCGGGAGGGGGGTGGAATTGCTAGCAGCAGAGCGTGATCAGGAGAAGGTATTATTTCAATCTTCCTTTAGAAGAGAAATGATGTTTGAGGTGGTGCTGCCTTCAGCTAGGCTGGCCAGCAAGTCGTCGTGAAAGGTGCAGGTCTGGGCCAGAGCTGGGAGGGAACCTTAACCTGTGGAGACACCACCGTAGTCCACCTCCTGCGAAGAAAACAGATAGGTGGCGCTTTGCACCGTGTTTAGGTACTTGACCTCCATTTGAAACGCAGCAGAGTGGCTCTGGCTCCAAGGGAGAGGTCTATTGCAGTAGATGCATCCTGAGAATTGTGGTTCCCTTCAGCAAGCGTTTGCCACTCGGGAGCTTGTCCCAGCTGCTGACAGCCTGGTCACCTGGTTACTCATCAGGCTGCTCCCTGCCACGGGCAGCTGCGCTTCCGAGGAGCACAGCTTCCGAAAAAGCAGAGTGCAATAACTATCCGTATCCTGCTCTGCACCCATTTCCAGCTGCAGATTGTGTTGTGTGATGCTGTGTTTGGCTGGTACAGGTGACCACGAAGATGGTACGCGTCTCTGCGCCCTGTCTCCACTGTGGCCGGGGGAGGGAAGGTGCTCCCTCCCCCCTTGCCCTCCTGCAGCCTCCTCCCAATGCCTCCCATTGCTTCTGCTGCTGCCCTCTCTAAATGCCTTTGACTACAGTGTTAGCCTTGACTTAACGTCACACAGACACTTTAAGGAAAAAAGAATCTGCGTCATTACCGGATCCAGCTGTGTCAGTGGGCTACAGAAAACAAATAAACATCATTGGAAAATGTGTAGTGCTTGACTCTCTTCCTTTTTAATAGCCAAACCAGGCATCCTCTCAAAACGTCTTACTGCCTAACTTCTCCTTGTGTCCTAAGGTATCGCTTTAGCTCTGGAAATACAATCACACATATACTTGAGTGAAAAATGCAAAGGACTTAGCTGCATGTGTTCATTTTGGAGCTGAAACATGTGCCTTGAATAACCTCTCACTCCATCCTGAATCCTTGAACACTGTGGAGCATTTGCAGGTTGCCTATGCCCGATCCACCAGTCAGAGCTGACATGAGCTGCCCCGTCCTCGCTATGTGAATAGCTGCACGTGAAGGTAGCTTTTGACTTAATAATGTTTTGTGTCTACTGGATCCTTGGGAGGGGTGAAGTAGTGATGTTAAATCCCATGGGGGTAAGCCCTTATATTCTGTTTCCACCAGCAGGCTCCTTTCTTACAGGCATGTGAGCATTTCTGCTCTAACTAGCTGGGAACCTGTGGTATGAAAATAATGATATTGAAATGAAAGAAATTTGTGCCCAGCTGCCAAAAAAAGGGCTAAAATAAGAAAACATGTAGCAGCCAAAAAATGTGCATTCTGCCAAAGTGAGCAGGACCAGGACCAGATGCAGATCTTGCCAGAGTGGAGCTAGACATGGGAATGCACAGCCCACTAGAAGCTAATGAAAACCCAAATGTAGATGCTGCCACAGCTGAACCGAACCCAAAACATACATCTGCCACACTCATAGACAACCCAGACGTCAACTGTTTGGAGCCTTCTCTGAAGGCTTGTGACTTCAGAGTGGGATGGAATTCTGGGCAAATGAGTGTCCCTGTCCTCTTCTGTCCCCCTCCTAAGAGGACTGTAAGAGCTTCTCTTTGCAGTCACCGTTCAACATGCAGCTTAATATTCTGGCACTCACTTCTCCACCAGCTTGCTTGACTATAAAGAGTATTTGGACTCCCACAGTGCTTCATTTAACCAGACTTTTCAAAGGACTCCCTCTCCCTCGCTCTCCTTCTCTACAAAGAAACAAACAAGATAAAACAGGAAGTAAAATCAAAAGAAGCAGAGAAAAGGAAAAAAAAATTCTGAAGGAGGAAAGGAAAGCCACAGCCACAGAACAGACCAAATAAAACCATTGTTGGGTCCCTACTCCTCCAAACCAAGCCAGTGGCCTGCCTGGGAGCAGTCTGGGAGATTTCTTTTTTATATATATAAGGGAACAGATGGATCCTTTAACTGGTGTTTAGAGCTGTTGGAACACGGGTAAGTCGAAGGCGCTTTACAAAGCAAAGGAGGGGAGTTTCGGCAGGTACTGAGAAATGAAGAGGTAGTTGCACAGAGAAAATCTGATTCCAGGTCACACGCACGTGTATGGCAGAGCCAGGACAAGAAACTGTCCTGTCAGCCCTCCCCAGCCCAGCACCCAGGGGTTTCTTACTCCAGCGCACCGCTGAGTCCCCTGAGCGCCTGCCCCAACTCCAGCAGGTACCAGCATCAGCCAGGTGAGCCAGGCTGAGACACAGGAATTCCAGCCTGATCAGTGGTGCTGCTCGTCCGGGAGACCTGAGCTCCACCGGGATCTGCAGGGGTTCTCCGGAGCGCAGAGCCAGTGCTGGGGAGGCACCGCTCCTCCTGCCGTGCTCCTCCTGCCACAGGTCTGCAGAGCCAGAGGCCCCGAGGCTGCAGCTGCCCCATGGGCAGACCTGGCACTGGGCCACTGCGCCCTCGAGTTCCCAGAGCTTCATCACCGAAGCAGTTTTACCAGTGCAGAGCGTGCCGCTTCGCTTGTCTCACGGTGTAAGACTGGCAGGTACAGAAATAGTTAATTCTTGAAAGCGATGGGAAGCCTGATGCGAGAAAGCAGGACAGAGCTGCCGTGGTCCCCCCTGCACAGACAGCAGAGCCCCCCCCCAGCTGATAACAGACGTCCAGTCTGAGAGGGGCACTGGGCCGCGCTGAGCTCTCGCACGCCAGAGCGGCGTTTGTGCGCGCCGGGCTGGGACACAGCAGCACCATTGTCTGCAGCCCCGGCCGGGCTGCCGGGGCGGAACAGCGTGCAGAAATGAGCATTCTTGCCCAGCGCCTCACGTCACCCAGGGAAGGGTGACACACTGCCGAGCAGCTTCCCAGCGCCCGCCCTGCCCCAGCAGGGAACGAGGTCTTTTGTCTCTGCGTTTGTGCAGGCGGTCTTGGATTTGTACCCCTGGTACAACACAGGAGCTCTTCTACATGCCAGAAGCGGGATGATCAGGACAAGCTGCTGGTGCATCGGTGACAGGGGATCACAAAGCAGCAGAGCTGCTCCCCAGGCACTTGACCCAAAACACATGCTGCAGCACACAATACAAATGAGGAACCTCTAGCTCGTATTTTTGCTTCATTAGTCTGCTGCTCTTGACACCCCGACTCTTATCAGACATCAGAAGGGCTTCTATAGCCTGCTCAAGCTTGTTTGTCCTTTATCTAAACCGTGTTCTGCTTATTTAGCCTCTGCTGGGGACACAGAGATCCCAAAACAGTTGATAAAGCATCCCATCACCTACATAGGCTTCCCATTGGACTCAGAAGCTGGCAAGGTCACAAGAAAAGCACATCTGCGTGTTTCCACAAGATTTCTACTTCCTAGACAGATTGAAAACAGAGAACATAGGAAAAAAGAGTCTAAAAGAGTATTTTTTGAGGAACTCCCAAAGACAGCAGCCTATCTCTCCACTGAAAAGCAGGATAGTTCCAGATCCCACATGGTTGGTGCACAGGCCAAAATGGTATATTTTCTTTCAGGGAATCCACCTGAATTTTGCCATTAATTTCAGTCAGGCCTAAGAATGATCCCATGTGTCTGGAGTGTGATATCTTCCACCGCAGCCAGTCTTGCAGCCAAGAAATGGCACAGGTTTGTCCAAGCTAAGCTGCCACCGTTCAAATGAAACTCTGCTTTAAAAGCCAAATATCACTGTGTAAATAGACCAATATCTGTCATTATCTGACAAGAATATGTAAAATACAGCTCTAAAAATCTTTTAGGACTGTAACATACTGGAAATATTTTTCTCATGTGAGATTTCACTGTTTCTATAGACTTTGGAAAAAGTGATATTGTAAAGACACTGATTCAAAAATTGGGGCACGTTAAAAGAAGCTGCCTCTCCCATCTTCAACAAGGTTACCTTTTTTAACAGTTCTGGACGTTTGCTGAAAGAAATTATAAACATAACAGGTCCTTTGACATTGAGGTTAAGTGTAGTTAATGAATAATCACATTCCATGGTCATAATGGGTTTTATCTGCATGGCCCCAGTTGCTTGATGATTTTTTGTACAGCAACATTTTCAGCCTCATGTCCAGAATGTGAATTTAAATGTCAGAGCAGCTCTTGAGCTGCCACGCATCCTCAGATTCACTCCCTGTCTGCGCACCCAGTGCAACGGCCAATTAATTGTACAGGATTTAAGTCTGGCCACAAAAGCCATGCAAATGATTTCTCCAGTGGGAAAGGCAGAGGGAAAAAAGCAATTCTTGGTGTTTAGCCTGGATAGGAGTGAAGTGACATTCAGGTTTGCTTCGATACACTTCTGTTCGGAAGCTCTCTGAGACCTCTTCTAACTGTGAAGTTCATCACCAAGAAACTCACAGCAAGCCCGCCGTGAGCTTCGATGGGACCCCAACCTTTCCCCAGGGGTGAGTTTACCGTCTCTGTAATGAGCTCGAGAGATCTTTACGTCTGATGGAAAATGTGGATTTAGTCAAATTAAACCAGCATAAGGCAAAGGTTCCTCGAGCCGTCTATAAACCATGC